GGCGGCGGCGGCGGGGGTCGCTTCCGCCCCGGGAGCCCTCGGCGGGACTCGGCTCTTTGTTAGTTGAGCCAACTCTGGCTCGGAGGCTGGGCCGGGACCCCGCTGGGATGCAGGACCACCCCCCCGCGCCCCCGGTCTGCAGCATCCTCGCCCCGGGCTCCATCACAGCAAGGCTTTCTTCCTGGCCTCATCCTCCCGAGAAAGCCGCGACTGAATGACCAAGGACGCCCCGGTACCCTGAACTCTAGTTCCCGTGCTAGTGGTGTCCCCCCCCCCCTTTTTTTTCTTTTCCTCCTTTCCTTGCTTTTTGAGAAGTGTTTGCGGTCCTGGAGTCCATGTTGGGCTACCCACTTTTTGGGCGGTGGCTCAAGACAGTTTTTCCCTTACAAAATGTGACCAAAAAAATGTGCGGGCAATAGTAGTGTGCCCCTGCTTTCAAGTAAAACGTTCGCAGATGACTTGCGTTCGTCATCGGTGGTGTACGTAGTCCGAGTTTGTCCCCACGGGAGAAGGAAATGAATTCAGAGCTGTGTTTAAACACATTCCTCGAATCCTCCTTATCAGAAATGTTGTTGGCCGGAGACAGCGTAACCCACAGCTTCAGTTCCTTGGAGAGTTTAAGGAAACAAAGCCATCCAAACGGTTTTTGTCCGGTGTCGGAGCCTTTAAACTGCCCTGATGACTTCTCTTTGAACATTTACTACATTTGAGTGCAAATCTTAGCGGCATTTTAGGAAGTTAGATACGTCTTTCACCGTTAAGGTGTTTTCCAGCCCTTTTTAATCAGTGGCTATTTGTCTTTCAAAAGTTTTTGAATTTTTATTTGTCTAGCTTAAATTTTTTAAAAGAGTTACATATGTGGGTAAACAAAGCACCCGTGGCAGCTTCATAAGTTGGATCCCTTGGGGATAGAGTTAGAAGTTGTGAGTCACCTGACCTGGGACCTGGGTGCTGGCAATCAAACTGTGGTCCGCTGTGCAAGAGCACTGTGTGTTTTTCGGATGAGACCTTTCTTCAGCCCGTTTGAGTTTTTTTAAATTACGTGTGTGTGTTGCTTACATCATGTGAGTCCTGAGGATTGAACTTTGGTCACTGGCAGCACCGTCACCACCTGAGCCATGTCACTGACCCAGTTTGAATTTTTGTGTAAAAATTCTGATGTGTTTTTAGATACGAGAAATGTGATGGGTAACTTTGACCACTTTTTTAAAGGAATTTATCTTTCTTGCTATAACTTTACTCAAACTGATTCTTGAAGGTATTTTGGCCAAGATCAGGCATAGTTTCCTTGCAGTTCGTTGTTATTTTTGGATTTTTCTGTCAAGCTTTTTGAAATACTCAAAACGTACCTTGGAAATGTGAATAAAGAAGATGATGGTTTTTTTTTAGAGACTCTTAAGATCACAGTCAACTATTGTAAGAGTTGAAAATAGGGTTATTATAAGTGATGTTTTGGTTCTTTTGCCAAAAGCCTTGGTTGTTTGTGAAGTACTTTTAAATGTCTTGGAAAGATACTTAAAGTTGGCACAAGAGATGGGTAAGAGTGCTTGCTAATGCCTGAAAACAGAGTTCAGTTGCCAGAGCCCACATGGCGGATGGTGTCCTCTGACTTGAGTATGCATGCCTTGATGTGCACACTTGTACATGTGCATACACACATACACGATGCAATTTTTTGTTTCAAAAATAGGTTATTTTTGAATGCTAGGGGGAAATAGGTAATTAACATAAGTCAAACAGTGAAGATGGCATTGGGCAAAGGCTTGAGGTAGATCAGGAGTCTAGTCTTACTTAGCATACAATATATGTGACCTTGAGAAAGTCAGTTAACTGCTGCTCTAGTTTTCTTAGTCTATAAAATACGAACGTTGAACTGTACATGCTTTCCTTACTTGAAACTGTAGTTAGCTAGTTAATACAGCTTTTCAATGACCAAAGCAGGAACTAATGTATGTAGTTATAAATTCAAGTTGCTGGTCATCTGTTAGTGCTTAGGGCAAGGTGCTTTCATTTAACTTAATAACTGGAGCTAGGGCTGTAGCTTGCTGGCCTTGGTGGTGCACTTGACTAGCATGTGTAACTGTTTTTGACCCTAACAACACTCCTCTCCAATAAATTAATTTGTAAATTTAAAACTAGAATTGATGGGCTAATGTGAAGTTTAATGAAGATCATTTTTCCCTTTTCAGTTTTTTTCCTTGTAGTTTTCAGTACTATTTTGAAGTCTATTTATGAAACATGTCCATAATAAAATTACTATTACCAAGGTGGATTCTAGTGCTCTGCCATGTTGAAATGTGTTTAGCTCAACTTCAGTGGTCCTTAGCCTATAGAAGTACATCTGTGGTCAGACTGTTGAGAGTAAATGCAGATTAGGTACAGTGATAACTGTCTTTTCAGCTCTAGTTGGAAATTGGTGAAGTGAAAAGTAAGATAGAAAGGATTACTGCTGTTTGACTTTTCATGATTTAATAACTAAGTTTGAAAAGAATGTGACTAAGAACAGTTAAAATGGTCTCAATGTTTGAAGGTAGAGAAATAGGAAGGCTGGGTGTGGTGCATGCCTGTAATTCCAGTACCAAAGAGGTGGGGATGGGGAAGGAGGAGCATTGCTGCCACTTCCACTATCTAGTGAATTCCATAACGACACTATGAAAGGAGAAAGAGGGGGAGAGTGAGAGCGGGTGGCATTGAGATTGATTGATTTGGATTGGACAAATAAGATACCTCTCAGTGTCTACTGGTACTTTTCATAGAGCAAAAATTCCTGGGGTTTTTGCTTCACTGGGTTACACTCTTGAACAAAGCGTAGTTAAAGGGGTTCATGCTATGTATTATAGTTAACTTATTCTTTGGGAATAAATAGCTGGTGACTGGGGGGGGGTGTCGAGACAGGGTTTCTCGGTATAGTTTTGGTGTCTGTCCTGGATCTTGCTCTGTAGACCAGGCTGGCCTAACTCACAGAGATACGCCTGGCTCTGCCTCCGAAGTGCTGAGATAAAGGCATGAGCCACCACTGCCCGGCTAGCTGGTGATTTTTGAAATTTATTTTTCAGACAGGGTCTCACTGTATATACCCTTAACTAGCCTGGAACTCAATAGAGATCCGCTTTCCTTCTGCCTCCTGTGTGCTGAGATTAAAGATGTGTGTCTATGCCTGACCAATTTATTTTTTATTGTGTGTTTGTCTGTATGCCACTGTGCATGCCTACTGCCCATGGAGGTCAAAAGAGGCCTCAGATCCCCTGGAACTGGTGTTCAAGATGGTTGTGAGTCGCTGTGTGGTACTGGAAACTGAGCCTGGGTCCTCTTCAAAAGCAGCAGCAAGTGCTAAGCCATTTCTCCAGCTCCCATAAGGAGCATTCTTAAATTTAGCAGGCGTAATCTTCAGGCTCTTTAGTTTCTATATCTTTTTAATTTAAAGAAACTAGACCTTCAAATATTAGGGCTTCACTTACCAAAACCAATTTATTTACCCAAAATAAATTGCGATGGAGTTCCAATTTATTTTAAAGATCAGGTTTTTCAAATGTGTTCCATTAATGAGTAAACAGGCAGATCAAGGATTGAGTGATAGCCAGCAGTTGTAGTCCCAGCTACTCAGGAGGTTAAAAATCTGGAGGATTACTGGAGCCTAGGAGATCAATAACCAGGCTGGGCAGTATGATGAAATTGTTTCTTAAAAACAAATTCAGGGAGGCTGGAGAGATGGCTCAGCGGTTAAGAGCATTGGCTACTTCTCTAGAGGTCCTGATTTCAATTCCCAGCAACCATATGGTGGCTCTCAACCATATAGAGTGGGATCTGATGCCTTCCGGCATAAAGTCATACGTGCAGATAGAGCATTCATATAATATGAAATAAATAAATAAATCTTAAAAAAAAAACCAAAACAAATCCAGGTACAGTGGCACATGTATAATACCAGCAATTCTAATACTCCTAAGTGGACAGAGACAGGAGAATGATGAGTTGGAGGTTAGCCTAGGTTAGCCTAGACTGTCTCAGAAAGCCAAGAAAAGTCAGGGATGGGGTAGCAAGCAGTTGAGGGGAAGAGGCAAGATAATCAGTAAAGGTTAGCCTTAGCTGCACAGTGAGTTTGAGGTTAGCTTAGGCTCCGAGACACTGTCAGAAGAGCAGTAACAACAAAATTGCCCAAACAGAAAGCTCCAAAAGGAAAGAAAAATGCCCAAATAGCCAAAAATCATAGATAATCCGTTTGCTAGTGAGGTAACTATCTAGGGTTTTCAAATTTTAACAGAGTAGACAAGAAAGATAGTAAGACAGATGAAATGGTTGCCCCTAAGATTTCCAAATGAAAGATTACAGCAATGTAGAAAAAAAGCAATTTGATTGGCTTGTGAGAATTTGTCCTCTAGACTGCCCTTGAATGGCTGTTTAGCATGGTTATGACCAGACAAACCTCGAGCCTGTTAGTGGGGACCCATTGAGCCTTCATTATAGTTTGACCCAATTTATTTACAGAAGGGATTGACAAATTATAAAAGAGCATATGTATATTGAAAGGGTGGTTGCATTTGCCTGGGTATATACACCTGGAATATTACTTCAAGCTGCGAAATGATAGCTACAATAGAACAGGAGAGAGCCTCGCTATCGAAGAATTTGAATTAAAAATGCTTCCCTGGCTGGGCGGTGGTGGCAAAGCACACCTTTAATCCCAGCACTGGGATGCAGAGGCAGGTGGATCTTTGTGAGTTCAAGGCCAGTCTGGGCTACCAAGTGAGTTCCAGGAAAGGCACAAAGCTACACAGAGAAACCCTGTCTTGAAAAAAAAAAAAAAGGTTCCTTAAGCCTGAGATGACATGCTGAAAGTATTAGTAGGTGTGTAGTCTGGCCTTGAACCATGAATGATGGTGATGTGAGGATGGAATTGTGGGTCTTTAGTTCGTGTATATATAGGTAGGGATTAGCAATACTGATTTACCCACTAGTTTAGAAGTCAGGTAATAGGATAATGCTGTAAGACTCAGTGGTAGAATGCTAGCCTAGCATGAGAGAAGTGTATCCCTTGATGCCACAATTACATGTATAATACATACATGATCTTAAGGTAGGTAAAAGGCTCTGTGCTGCAGAAAATTTCAGATTTCTTGTCACAGATAGATATCAAATTGAAAAAAATAGTGATTTAAGAAGAGTTTTAATGGTTGGGATATGGCTAAATTTGTGCTTGTCCTGTGTGCATGAAACTGGGTTTGATTTCCTGTGATATATGAACAGGGTATTCTAGTGCATATCTATAATCTTAGCAGGAAGATCAGAAGTTCAAGGTTGTTTTCTGCTACATAGCAGGTTTGAAGCTGGCCTTGGATGTATGAGAGCTTGTCTTTAAAGAAAAAAAATATTTTTGAGTAGAAGGGAAGACAAAACTAAGCCTTGGAGGGAGTGGCAGAAATATAGTTTGAAAAGATTGTCACCTTTTCATTTGGGAATAACTGGAATTTTAAGTTTTTAAAATGAATGATAGAAAAGTTTTTGTGCTGGGTTGTGGTAGTGCACGCCTTTAGTTCCAGCACTCAGGAGGCAGATCCAGGCAGATCTCTGTGAGTTTGAGGCAGGTCTGGTCTACAGAGTGAGATCCAGGACAGGCACCAAAACTACACAGAGAAACCCTGTCTCGGAGAAAAAAAAAAAAAAAGGAAAGAAAAGTTTTTGTGTGTGTGTGTGTGTTATAGAGATGGGAATCAGATATGGCAGGGCAGCATACTCCCTAGCAATAAGGAGGTTAGTGAGTTCTGGGCTAGCCAGGGCTGCATAGTGAGATCCTATCTCAAACAGAAATATGTATGGGAAATATATTAAAGTTGGAGAAATACCAAGATAATTTAAGAATGGTAGATTGATTGGGAATAAGGAGGGTACAAGGAGTATGAGGTGCTTTTTTACCTTGAGATTGAGGAAAATTACCTTTTCCCCCAAATACTGTATTATAGTTAGCATCTTCTAGCTTTTCTTTTCTAAGTCCTTTTAAACAATTTCGCTAGGCCTTAGTGGCTGGTGCACTCCTTTAATCCTAGCACTTGGGAGGCAGAGATAGGCGGAGCTCTGTGAGTTTGAGGCCAGCCTGGTTTACAGAGCGAGATCCAGGACAGCCAGGGCTACACAGAGAAACCTGTCTTGAAAAAAATTTTTTTTTTCTTGACACAATATTACATATTTATGGGGTACAGTTATAATTTGTATGTAATACGTTGACCAAAGCAGAGCAGTAACATTTTCATGTCCCTCAGCTTCAGTGTAGATAGTGAATTCTTTTGAGGGATTTTAAAAAATTGGTCTGTAATCCATTTTTGTGAGAAAGACCAATTTGAAAACTAGCCATTTTTTTGCACTGTAGTCATCATAGTCATTATTCATGATGGGCAATTCTTAGAGAAAAACTGGCAAAGGTAAAGGCCTATTCAAAAGTTACTGCCAAGATACAGTAAGAGGGAGACTCTAGAGACACAAAGCTGAATTCAGAAGGCAAATTTTTTTATATCCAAGATTTTTAATTGGATTAGTATTGATCTATCTCTTGAGTATAGAAGGTAAATTTTATAATAGACTAAAAAATGAAGTTAGAAGCCAGGTGATGGACAGTTGCAGAAATATGAAAACAGACAGTTAGATTTGTCTAATCAATTATTTTTTTTTAATGAAAATGGTAAAGGTTAAGTAAAAGAATATCATTATTGTTAGAATGTTGAGCTATTTAGTGATGAAATGATATGATGCCCACAGCCTTGTTTCTTGTAGTTTAAGGAGAAAAGTGTCTATCCAGATATAAAATGCAGGGCTAAAACCCCCCAAGGGAGGGGAACTACAATGTTATTTTATGAAACAAAAAGCTGTAAAATTAATACTTAATTTAATATGTAAGACAAACATAAAGGTATACACTAAAAGCACTCATGAGCCCACCACCTACATAATTTAGTAAATCGAACATTGCCTATCACTGCATCTCCCTTACTGGCTTGAATACATTTTAAAGAAATTTATTTTGTGCATGTAAACATTCCCTATATCCACTGAGTGTGGGTTCTGGGGATTGGACTTGGTGTCAGGGTGCTTGTGCCTTTGACTTACTGAGTTGATGTGCTGTTCTCGATAACTCTTTTTTAGAAATAAAAATTTCAGAGACAGGTGAACCTCTGAATTTGTGGCCAGTCTGGTCTACACAAAGAAACCCTGTCTTGAAAAAAACCAAAGCTGGGGGTGGGGGTTGGAAATTTACTAGAAGTAAAATTTTCAAACCAAACATTCAATTTATCTTATTTTTCAGGTCCTTTGCTGACTTGTGAATTGTAATTTGGTTTGTCATTGTGTGTGTGTGTGTGTGTGTGTGTGTGTGTGTGTGTGTGTGTGTGTGTGTGTGCATGCGCGCTTTATAATGCAGAGTTGAATTTACTGAAAGATGCAGTTTAGCCTGGTGAAGTTAACTGGACATTGTTTCTCCTCTCTAGGAAGGAGGTGGAAGTCATCATAAAGTTTCTGTCTCCCCTGTTGTGCATGTCCGAGGGCTCTGTGAGTCGGTGGTGGAAGCCGACCTTGTGGAGGCGCTGGAGAAATTTGGGACAATATGGTAAGGACAGCAGGGACTCATCGATGTCGAAAAGAGTGTGGGAGAACAAGCCTTGCTGGATTCTTTCCAGTTGGTATTGAGCACTGTATAGATTGTTTGCCTGTTTGTGCTTTTCTATGGAAACACCCCCGCCCACCTCCCAACCCCCCAGTTTTTGAGTGCGGGGCTCCTCCCTGTGCAGGGCAGGCTGGCCTGGAACTTGAATTCATCCTGTCTCAGCCTGTCTGAGTGCTAGGATTGTAGGTGTCTGCCATCTTTGGAACCTTTTTTTGTTTTCTAACTTGCGGGGGCGGTTCAAGACAGGGTTTTTCTATGTAGTCCTAGCTGTCTTAGAACTTGATTACATAGTCCAGGCTGGCCTCAAACTCAAGGAACTCTTCCTGCTTCAGCCTCCTGAGTGTTGGGGGTCAAAGGTGTGTGCCACCACCACCTGGTGGTTTTAACTTTTTTTTTGGTTTTTCGAGATGGGGTTTCACTGTGTAGCTTTGTGCCTTTCCTGGAACTCACTCTGTAGCCCAGGCTGGCCTCGAACTCACAGAGATCCACCTGGCTCTGCCTCCCGAGGGCTGGGCCCACTACACATGCCAGGCAGACACTCTGCCACTGACCCTTAATTATGCTTAATTAAGTTTTAACCTTCCTGGGGTGATTAGTAGGTGCTCATGTTGACATATCACCTGCCATCCAACAGGTTTGTAGGTAAAAATTTCATGCCATTGAGTTGGCCCTTGCATTTCTCTTTTTGCTGTTTGGCCTTTCTTTTTTCTCTATTCTTTTTAAAGAATTTGTTCACCGGGCTGTTTAAGCACATGCCGAAATGTCTGTGACATTTAAATTCTCCTTTTCTTTGTCTTCATACAAAGTCACTGTCCTGGAATCCCAGCACTCTGGGAGGCAGAAGCAGGCAGATCTGTGAGTTCGAGGCCAGCCTGGTCTACAGAGCAAGTTCTAGGACAGCTAGGGCTACACAGAGAAACTTTCTCGAACAAACAAGAAGGGGGTGGGTGGGTGAGAGGGCTGTCCTGGAACTCACTCTGTAGCCCAGGCTGGCCTTGAACTCACAGAGATCCACCTGCCTCTGCCTCCTGAGTGCTGGGATCAAAGGTGTGTTCTTTGATCATTTTGCCCAGCTAGAAAGCAATTTTATTATGACCAGATCTCTAACAGGCCAGCTACCTTTGTTTTTATTGCTTTGTTTCCAGGGGCCCTTTTTGACTTGGTGACAAAATTTATGTATTGTATGAGAGACATTTATTCTTAATTATTTATTTTTTTTAGGTTTGTTTACATGTATTTTGTCTTCATGTATGTATGGTTCCTAGAGAATCTTAAAAGAGGGTGTTGGATCCCCAGGAATTGAAGTTAGAGTTGTGAATTACCATATGGGTGATGGGAACTGAACTCTGGTCCTCTCTCTGTAAGAGTAGCAAGTGCTTGCCGGGCGGTGGTGGCGCACGCCTTTAATCCCAGCACTTGGGAGGCAGAGCCAGGCGGATCTCTGTGAGTTCGAGGCCAGCCTGGGCTACCAAGTGAGCTCCAGGAAAGGCGCAAAGCTACGCAGAGAAACCCTGTCTCGAAAAAACAAAAAAAAAAAAAAAAGAGTAGCAAGTGCTCTTAACTGTTGAGCCATCTTGCCCTCCCACCTTATTTATTTTTTAAATAACAGACCTGATTCCGGGGTTTACTATTTTACATATTAAAGATTTTAGAACTTTATTGAAGAATTTATTTCTAGAGGAAATGTGTTCTTTCCTGGGATTTAATTTATATTTTGTACTTACAGTTGCTGTAGCTTTAAATCCAGGACCTTACTGTTTCACTGTTTGCTTTTTAGTGATGTGGGTGGGGATAGCTAACCAGCCTCTAAGGTCAACATATACTTATTGCCTGCTGTGTGCCAGCCTCTGTTTCTATCTTCTGAGGATATAAAGTTATAGTTCCCTGTGGAGATCCTATAGTATGCCAGGCTGTTTGCTAGGCAGTTTGTATGCAGTAACTAATCTTGACTATAGAACTCTCCAGTTTTATAAATGAGCAAAGTGATAAATTACTGAACTATAAAGTGATGTGGTTTTTTTGTTTCATTTATTTTTACTAATACTGCTTTTTTTTTTTAAAGATTTATTTATTTATTATGTATACAGAAGAGGGCCCCAGATCGCATTGCAGATGGTTGTGAGCCACCATGTGGTTGCTGGGAATTGAACTCAGGACCTCTGGAAGAATAGTCGGTGCTCTTAACCTCTGAGCCATCTCTCCAGCCCCCCTAACCAGCCCCCCTAATACTGCTTCTTTTGTCAGTTTCTATTGTGAAGTTGTGGGCCCTGGATGCCTGTTATACAGAATGGTTTGAATATCTGACTTGATAAGATTTTTTTGTTTGTTTTTTAAGACAGGGTTTCTCTGTAACAGCCTTGGCTGTCCTGGAACTCATTCTGTAGACCAGGCTGGCTTTGAACTAGAGAGCCACAGGCTTAGTTTAATCCCCAAGTGCTGGGTTAAAGTCGAGCGCCATCATGCCTGGTGTTTTTTGGTTATGGTGTTTTTTTTTTTTTTTTTTTTTGACATGATTAAACCATGTTGGCTATATATCAAGACAGTTGAAAGTTCTTATTTCTGTCCATTAGGAATATGCTGTTTCTCCTGTTGTAAAATATGAACTGTGATCTCTCTCTCTCTCTCTCTCTCTCTCCCCCTCCCCCTCCCTCTCTCCCTCTCTTCCTCCTCACAGTGTAGCAGTCCTGATTGGCCAGGAACTCAACTGTGTAGGCCAGGCTGGCCTCAAATCCACAGAGATCTTCCTGGCTCTGTCTTTTGAATGCTGGGATTGCTCCATTTATCATTCGTTTTGTGTATTATAATATAAAACCTTCAGCCGGGTGGTGGTGGTGGTGGCGGCGCCTTTAATTCCAGCACTCAGGAGGCAGAGCCAGCCAGGCAGATCTCTGTGAGTTCGAGGCCAGCCTGGTCGACAGAGCGAGATCCACAACAGCCTCCAAAGCTGCACAGAGAAACCCTGTCTCGAAAAAACAAAAAACCCAAAAAAAGAACCTTTAAAGGAATTTTTTTTTAAAGATTTATTTATTATGTATACAGTATTCTGCCTACATGCATGCTTGCAGGCCAGAAGAGGGCACCAGATCTCATTACGGATGGTTGTGAGCCACCATGTGGTTGCTGGGAATTGAACTCAGATCCTCTGGAAGAATAGCCTGTGCTCTTAACTGCTGAGCCATCTCTCCAGCCCCAGGAATATATTTTCAAAAGTGAATATTTCATCCTCCTGCTCATAGTTAACCATGATTGTTTTTCTAGTGGTTGTCTTTTCACAGACTTAAAATATTTTGGAGTAAATTATTCAGATGAACTTGGGTCAATTTATGGTTGCTTCTATTTGGTTTTAATGAGATAACTATAGAAACAGTTAATTCTTAGTTATCGTTGTGTGGGTATTCCTGCTATTTCTTTTCCGTTTGGGATGGGCTGGCTTTGAACTTGCAGTCCCCTTTTGCCTTCACTTCCCAAGTGCTGAGATTACAGCTTTTCCCACCATGCTCAGATCATTTCTGCTGTTTACAGTTTTGCTTGGTGATCTTGTGTGGAGTTTTAATTTCTGTGTCTTGATGTTCTAATACTGCATGGGATGGGGGGATAAGTGGCTGATAATTGGGCTTGAGTAGGGCATGAGATGAATACGCCTTCCACCAGGCAATTGTAGTCTGCTTTTACTTGACAGACTAAGTGATGGTGTATTGGTATTTCTTCCTTTCAGCTACGTGATGATGATGCCGTTTAAACGACAGGCTCTAGTGGAGTTTGAAAATGTAGACAGTGCCAAAGAGTGTGTGACATTTGCTGCAGATGAGCCTGTGTACATTGCTGGCCAGCAGGCTTTCTTCAACTATTCTACAAGTAAAAGAATCACTCGGCCAGGAAACACTGATGATCCCTCAGGGGGCAACAAAGTTCTCCTGCTCTCCATTCAGAATCCTCTTTATCCAATCACAGTGGTATGTATTGGAGTAGAACAACTAACCTGGGTGTAGTTTTCTTACCTGTCAACTAGTTTTGTTTGTTTTGAAACATGGTTTCGTTATGTAGCCCTGGCTGGCCTGGAACTTGCTATACCAGGCCTAGACCTTCTTGGCCTGAAACTTAAGAGAGCCTGCCTCTGCCTCCCAAGTGCTTGGGTTTAAAATGTGCAACAACATGTTTAGCTGTTTGTTTTTTGTTTTAAAGATTTATTTTTATTGTATGTTTGTATGTGCATGGGTGTTTGCCTATATGTGCATGGGTGTGTCTGTTCAACACATGTGTGCAGTACCCTTGGAGGCCAGAAGAGAGCATCATCAGGAACTGGAGTTGTAGATGGTGGTTAGCTGCTCTGTTGCTGCAAACCTAACCTAGGGTCTGAGCCGTCTCTAGCCCAGTGGTTCTGAACTGGTAGGTCACGATCCCTTTCACAGGGCTCACGTAGCAGATGTTCACATTATGATTCATAATAGTAACAATTACAGATGAAGTAGCAGCAAAAATAATGTTATGATTGGGGATTCACCACAACATGAGGAACTGTATTAAAGGATTGCGGCATTAGAAAGGTTGAGAACCACTGGGCTAGCCCATTTTACCCTTTTAAACAACGTGGTTATTAGCTGGGTATGGTGGAACATGCCTATGATTCCAGCACTTGGGAGGCAAAAGTGGATAGATCTCTTATTTTGAGGCTCTCCTGGTCTGTGTCGCCAGTTAGGATTACACAGTTACATCCTCAAAAAAATGTTTAGTAGCCGGGCGTTGGTGGCGCACGCCTTTAATCCCAGCACTCGGGAGGCAGAGCCAGGCGGATCTCTGTGAGTTCGAGGCCAGCCTGGGCTACCAAGTGAGTCCCAGGAAAGGCGCAAAGCTACACAGAGAAACCCTGTCTCAAAAAACCAAAAAAAAAAAAAAAATGTTTAGTAATTAAGAGGAATGATACCTGTAAATTTTACTTTTTAGATAAAACAAATAGAATATAGTTTTAATGTCTTTCTAAATATAAAAAAATGAAGAAATATTCTTTTTTTTTCTCTTCATAGGATGTTCTATATACAGTATGCAACCCTGTTGGAAAAGTACAACGTATTGTTATATTCAAGAGAAATGGGATACAAGCAATGGTTGAATATCCTTTATTTGTAAATGTGTTACTGATATATAGAAGTGTTTGTAATTCATATTTTTTTCTGCTTGAGTATTTCTAGGCAAGTGGCATTTTTTCTGCTAGAGCAATCTTCTTGACTTAAATTTGTTACTTTGTTTTCCTTTATGTTGAGATAGTAATCAACTCAGAGATCTGCCCACTTTCTGAGTGCTGCTGAGAAAAGTGTGCACCAACATACCTCGCTTACTTATATTTAAAAAATGAAACTGCAGTACTCTAGGGAATTTTACTATTTTCGTACCATAGAGTAGTCCATTAAGGTACTGGGGATTGAACCCAGGGGCTCTCTACATGCGAGGCCAAGTACTCTAACATTTGGCTGTTGCTGGAGGGCTTCTCTCCAGGTTCCACCAAACCCCGCAGTCCCACAATCCACGTATAAAATAATCACTCAGATGCTTATAATACTTATAAACTGTATGGACGTGACAGGCTTCTTGCTAACTGTTCTTATATCTTAAATTAACCCATTTCTATAAATCCATACCTTGCCACATGGCTGGTGGCTTACCGGCGTCTTTACATGCTGCTTGTCCTGGCGGTGGCTGCAGTGTCTCTCCTCCTTCCTGTTCCCCCAATTCTCCTCTCTCTTTGTCCCGCCTATACTTCCTGCCTGGTCACTGGCCATCAGTGTTTTATTTATATAGAGTGATATCCACAGCATTTGGCCCTATTCTTACTTTGAGAACAAAATAATTTTGTTTGCAGGTTGTAGATTGATTGTAGAGGATAGAACCTGCTCCATGCTCTACTTTATAGTACTTCTAATGATTTGGAAGGATTAATGTGGGTAACGTTGATGGTGTTCTATTTTCTGTCTTTAAAATAAATCTTTATGAGTAAAGATTTATTTAGAGTTTTATTTGGGAAAATGTTTCCAGAAACACTGTTAGTTTTGGTTATCTTTTTAGTTCCTTGGGAATGAAGAACAACTAAATTGAGGAAGCCTTCAGCCATGTTTCCTTAATAGAGCTTTATGTTTGAGTCGGTCCTTTGTGCCCAAAAAGCTAAAGCAGCACTCAATGGAGCTGATATATATGCCGGATGTTGCACACTAAAAATTGAATATGCAAGGGTAAGCATTCCTTTTCAACACTCTACCGAAGAAATACTGATACTTGGGGTATTCAATTTAGACTTACTCATCTTCTTCACTCTCAACAGCCAACTCGTCTAAATGTGATTAGGAATGACAATGACAGTTGGGACTACACTAAGCCTTATTTGGGAAGACGAGGTAGGTATCTCATGAAGTTTAGAATGTACTTGGATCTGCTGAGAACTTTTTACAAGCAGTTACATTCTTTTTTTCTGAGATGAGCTAGTTAATTATAATGAAAATCTTGTTGCTGAATGCTTTTGTTGCAAAAGTCCGTGTAATGCTGGAAATTCACCTTGGACGTTAGTGCCCCCTACTGGTATGTGCTGAGCTTATTTATATTTAGTTCAACAAGGAGCCCTCACATACAGGCACGCCCGCAGTTCAAGGACTTGCATTTCTCCAAGCAGCTCTCTCTCTTTGGAGGAGAGGAAACTGATTCAGAATATTCCTTACAAACTGCAAACTTGCACACTGCTTCTCTATGGAAAGGACTTTTCCCCCAAGCTGGACGAGGCATTAAGAAGGATAGAGGACTCCGGCAGGCTGACTCTACACCTCATCATGCACAACATCGGCATCAGCAAAAAGCCCTCTGAAAAACTCAGACTCGCAACTCACCTTGACTGCATACTACATGCACCATCACCCCAAGTTTTTAAAGGACGACATTTAACAGTACTTCAGACTTGCATGGAATGAACACCATGATAGACTGTGCCCATTTATTCAAGTTGTATGTATACTGATTTGCTTTCCCTTAAGGTTTCAGTTGTAGAATTTAAGACTTTTCATTTATGAAAACTAGACATTTTGCAATGTTGTAAAGTTCACTGACCGTTGATGTAACTGTTTTCAGCTTAGACTTAGATTGTTAATATGCTTTTAACAAGGGATCAGTTTATCTACAGATCTTGGGAATTGATATGCTCAACCAATCCACACAAACATTAAACATTTAATGTGGATTAGAAAGGTGTAATTTGGCTGGGGATAAACAGGTCAGTGGTAGAGCATGTACTTAGCATGCGTAAGCCCCTGTCTTTGATCCTCAGCACAAAAAAAGTGCACATTTGCTGCATTTAAGTTTGCTTTGTTTTTTTTGTTTTTTCCCAATTCTGAACACTGAACAGAGATTCTGACAAATGAAAAGGTGCATTATATGTAAAAGATGTTTTTCTGTGTGGTTTGATTTTTGTAAAGTGGCTGTTTATAAGTTGTCATATTTTGTAACAATTTAAGGTTTTTCACTTATGTTAATTTGTGTAACCAGAAAATTGAACATTTCAAATACAGTTGAAAGTAACATGTCATTTTCAAGGTAGAATATATTTAAACTTGATAAATCTGAAAATCAAGAGCATTTCATTTGAAATGCCTTTTCACCAACAGCCTATAAATGCTAAATTTTATGAGCATAGATTTCACTGATAAATTGTTCAACTAACTGTGGTAATTCTGGAATATACAAATTAAAATGTCGATCTTGTAAAAACAAGGGGGCTTCAGTATTGGCTACATCTCAACTACAATATTAATGTTTGAACTACATGTTAGAAAAACTCAAGATATGTGTCTGTACAAGTCAGCTTGAAAAACTTTTTATAACATCCAAAATACCTTGAGCAGTGATTACTCTAGTGCATGTACTTCAGCCAAGGGAAAGAAAGAATAAAACAATGTGATCCTTTGCATGTTCAGATCCTTCCAAGTTTTTGGGTGATTGGCTTCTTTAGCTCTCAATTTCCAGGGAATCATTTCATCCTGTGCATGGAATTGTAAATAGGTTTGTTTTGTAAAATGTGGCTTTGTTAGATCCCCAGTTTTGATACTTAGGGAAATTTGCTTGATCTCTGTTTGGTGCAGTTGAATCCAGTACTGGAAAACAAATCCTTAGGAACTCAAATAACAAGACAAATGGTTGATGAGAAATCTGTTGTTTCTGCGCACTGACAGTATTGAAACCTTAAGTTTGGTTTTTACTCATTTGAAACAGCTTGGGCTGCATTTATGTTACTATATATTGAAACATTTATAGATTTTTTTTTCCTTTTTTTTCAAGACAGGGTTTTTCAGTGTAGCCCTGACTATCTTGGAACTTGCATTGTAGAGCAGGGTAGCCTTGAACTTTAGAGATCTGGCGGCCTCTGCCTTTCTAGTGCTGGCATTAAAGGTGTGTGCCATCATGCCCAGTGAAGCATTTATACATTTTAACATTGTTTATATGTATAATTTTTTAATTATTTATTTATCGAATGTGCATTGATGTTTTGCCCACATGTATGTCTGTGTGAGGGTGTCTGATTCTGATCCCTTGGAACTGGAGTTACAGACATTTGTGAACTGCCATGTGGGTGCTGGAATTGAACCCTGGTCCTCTGGAAGAGTAGCCAGTGCTCTTAACCACTGAGCCATCTCTACAGTGCCTATTGTATTCTTTTAAAAGGCCTGAACTTTACACAAAGCCAGCTTAGTTTTTTTCATGCAATTCCTAATTAGATAATGAAATATGTACAATAGATATTTAATAGAGATATAATTAAAGGAAGTAAAATTTATATTTATACTTTTAAGGAAAAATACTCTTGTTTTCCTAATTTTTATTGACAGAGCTTTCTGGCTAGACTTGCAGTTTATAAACATAGTTTCTGTAGTGATTTAAGCTTGAGTTGAATTGACAGGTCATTAAAATTATTTACCTGCTTTTCCCAAAAAACTTCATGGAGAGCCAGGTATGGTGTGTGTGCTTATAATCCTAGCACTTGGAAAGTAGAGGCAAAGAACCAGGAGTTTAAAGTTAACCTGAGCTATATGAGACCCTGTCTCAAAAACAAACAAAACAATAAATAAGAAGAGAAAAGAATCTTTATATATCTTTACTGAAGAAATTTTCTTATAAAGTTTCATTTAAAAATACCTGATTACAAGCTGGGCTGTGGTGGTACATGGCTTTATTCCCAGCACTTGGTAGGCAGAGGCAGGCGGATCTCTGTGATTTGGAGTCTAGCCTGGTCTACAGAGAGAGTTCTAGAATTGCCAAGGCTACATAGAGAGACCCTGACTCAGAAAAACAAAACAAAAAGACCCTGATTATATTTTATTACAAAGAATCCTTAGCCTGAACTCCAGGGAACCCTTACATAAATGTTACACAAAATTTACATACTGTATATATATGTACCTTTTTGAGAAGAAAGTGTATAGCATTTATCAGATTTTACTTGAATACAGAGTTTAAGAAAACACTATAGATTGATAGGCTTAATGTTTGACTTTACTGTTCCTTTTGTTTTATTTGATAGTGGATGTTTTAATGGCTGAAAGATATCTTGGAAATACTTTCTTTTTGAGATGAGGTTTCACTATCTGCCTCTGTATCCTTAGTGCTGGGAGTAAAGGCATGTGCTACCTACCACACACACCCATCTTCTCTTTATTTTATGTTTGAAGTTTGTGGGTTTCTATAACTATACAACAAATTAGTGGTTAATTGAACTCTTTCTTTGTAGCAATTTTTAACTGTCAGTAAAACTTAAGCCATGAAAACATGGTTCTGAGAAGAGATAAGGAATTGAATTTAGTCTTTGGTGGTATCTACTTGAGGACACAATACCTGAGGGACCAGTAGACTGGATTAATTTAAGAGAATAGACACAATACTGGGAAATATTAGAAACCATGTAAGAAAAAAGAAATTCTTTTAGTCAGGAGAAGCAGTAGTTGAGGAGGTGAGGTCAGGGTTTTAAGTACTAAGTGTAAGGTTTTAAATACATTAGACTGTGGAGGGTCAGTTTCTATTCTGTATAGAAAGTAATTTTCTTGAAATTTAGGTTTTCTATAAATGTAAAGAGAGTTAGTGAATACCTTATTACTGGTATTGGGTAAGCAGTGGCCAAAAGGGATTATTAAGAGTGTTTTTGTAGTTTGGTTGTGTTTTAATATGGAATAAAAGTTTAACTAGATGACCGTCTTCAATCCTTTCCAGTGATATGATAGTGTGGTTAGAAGAGGTAATTACTTATAAACTTCTCTAGACTGAAATGAAAGTTAGTATTTCTCATCCTCCACAAACCTTGTTTGTTCAGGTGACTAAGGATATTTTGGGCACTGTAATTGGATCAGCAAATTTCTAAAAGTATTACATGAATTTAAAATTTGTGAACTGGCAGTAGAAGTCCTATTTTGGAAACCTGGAAGTAATTCTTAAAAAAAAAACCAAAAAAAAAAAACAAAACAATAAAACTTACAAATAAGATTTGAGGAAATTGGCATGCCTTTTTTGAAAATATAGCTAAAATAAAAATTTAAGAGTATTGTAGTCTCATCCAATAATGTAGCCCCCTTGGTTAGGTTTATCTTGGCATATTTAAACTCTGAAGGTTGCTCATGCTTCTGCTTGATGTTATGGTCGATAGAAAATGACCTATCTATGATACAACATAAGCCAGTGATGTGCAGATTTTCAGCTCTCAAGTCAGTAGGTGTTTGTAAATATGTGTATGTACATATAAAATACTCTGTGTTTACTGATTGTGAAACCATGTAATACAGGTTGTTGTTGGCTTATGCTGAAACTTCTTGAAAGAAGCCCACTTTGAAAATGTGTTGCTGTTGAAGCTAATAGTATGATTCAGGTACTGTCTTTCAAAAGTACTGCACTTACAAGCTTGTTTTAAAGACATGTATTGGTAAAAACTTGTGTACAGTGTCAAACTCTAGCATTGTGTACATTCACTTCCTGCAAAGCATCTAATCTTTTAAATTTGAAAGTGTGATTGTATTTGGCATTTATCAAAAACATAATTTCCAGTGGAATTTGTTAGATAGAATTACTTTCTAAAACTTTTGGTGTTTGTATTTTCATTGGATATGAATGGATGTTTAAAATTAACCAGGAGTAATATTTCTTTTATGAAATATGGATGTTTTGAATGGGTGTTTCCCATGTGAAAAGTCTGTTAAGTACTTGGATCAAAATTGTTAAAACCATGTTTCTACTTTTGTGTCAGATAGAGGAAAGGGTCGCCAGAGACAAGCCATTTTGGGAGATCATCCTTCTTCGTTTAGACATGATGGCTATGGTAAGTTGTCAAGGCAGAAGGAAGGTAGTGTAGATGAACTACTAGAATATTTGCCTTTCTGATGACAAATGCCCTATTTCTTGTCTGTGTATTTTCCTGAGCTCCTAATCACCTGATGTAGTTTATGAGATCAGCCCATTACAATGAATTTTCAAGAAATTGTCCAAAACCTTTTTTCTTAGGATATTGAGATATTAAATTGTCCTTGAAATAAATTGGTTGGGGAATTGAACATACTTTTTTTTTTCTGTCCCTGTGGTTTGGTTTTTAAAATTTTATTTATTTATGTTTATGTGTTATGGATGCCTCCATGTGGTTGCTAGGAATTGAGCCCAGGTCCACCGGAACAGCAGCTGATGCTCTTAAACACTGAGCTATCTTTCCATCTTTTTTTAAACTTGAAATATTTATTTTTTTGTCTGTGGTAAAATTTGTTCAAGATTTTCTAATGATTTATATGACAGAGGAAGTTGAAACATTTTCTTGTTAAAACAGTAAGTGTTGTACAGTTTTTTTTTTTTTTTTTTTTTTGATTTTGTTGTCTGTGTCCGTCCCCTGGCCCCAGTGTCTCACTATGTAGCTATTCTGGATCTCACTCACAGAGATCCACCTGCCTCTGCCTCCTGAGTGCTGGGATTAAAGGCCTGGGCCACCCCTACTCAGCTGTGTTTTTTGTTTTGTTTTTATTACATTTTCATTTTGTGTGTGCCAGTGGAGGTCAGAGGACTTAGTTCTCCTCTTCCTTAACGTGGTCCCAGGAATTGAATTCAGGTCATAGGAGGAAAGTTGGTCGTTATTTTTGGACTTCAGTGTCTCAGTGGCAATCACTCAAAAGCTAAAACCTGGTTAACTATTTGCCACACGAACTAGAAAACTATGAAAGAATGCCTGAGAAACAAGGAGCTCTCCTGTAGTAGCATTGAAACTGTTTCCTTTGCACAGGTTTTGAGGAATAGTGTTCTGTTATCAGGTATGTTTTACTGAAAGAACTGGGTGGACACATAATGTAGCTTATTGAGTGGTCGGTGCTAAACAGGGACCTTTGAGATGATAGAGTCTTGCTTTCAGGGATAGTTGTCTCAGGGTTGATTGGGGACATCTATTCTCAGTTATATCATTAAGATAATGAACTTGGAGATTAGTCTGTTCTGCTTCCTAAGAGAAGCTAAGCAGACGCACTTCAAAGGATGGAGTCTAAATAATGAGAAGTGAAAGAAGACGAAGTGGGAAGAAGCTAGCAGTGTTTCCTGGGGGTGCGGAAATAGTACAGTGTGCAGGTCACAGCTGTGTACCTTCAGAGCAGCTGTCAAGCAGAACAGCTTTGGTGCATTTTGTGTTACATCATGGATGTTCCTAGGGCTCCTAGGTAATGATCTGAAAGAGAAAATAAAAGAAAATAATTATGAGTCAGGCGCATAGTCTCAATTAGATTGAATAAATTTGTTGCTTTATCATTATACTAACTGTTACAGTTTTTTGTGTAAAAGATACGGTCTCATTGTGTATTCCCTGCTGGCCCAGAACTCAAGGTGTAAACCAGGATGGTTTTGAAATTGCCACCCTTAAACAGTGAGCTTTAAGCAGTCATAAGTTGATGGCTAGCATTTTGGATATAGTTTCTGAATCAAAGATTTTCTATTTTGAAAGATAGGGCATGATTTCAAAATGTTAATGATGCCACTTATATAACATTTTCCCATTATAAATGGACTTTTAAAAAAAATATGCGAAACATTAATTGTTTGGTTTTTTTTTGTTTTTTTTTTTTTCTTTTTTCTTCAAGACAGGGTTTCTCTGTGTAGCTTTGCGCCTTTCCTGGAACTCGCTTTGGACACCAGGCTGGCCTCGAACTCACAGAGATCCGCCTGCCTCTGCCTCCTGAGTGCTGGGATTAAAGGCGTGCACCACCACTGCCCAGCTAGTTTTCTTTTTTAAAGCATCAAGATTTGCATCTGCACTTTAGGGCTGGATATACAGAACAGTCTAAATCATGTAGATAATTTAATTCTCTTGACTCATGGTCGTAGTTAAAAATTCACAGCATTTTTTTATGTTCTGGTACTGGCTTTGGCTGTTGCTTAACCTGTATCTCATTAACATGAATTTTGTCCAACTCGAGCTAAGTGGAAGTTTGTACTGCTTATCTGCTGCAGGTCTTTTTACTTCCCATGGGGAAAGGAATAGTGATTTTTAGGGAACTGTTGTGGCATAAGCAAATGGTAGTGGCGGGGAGGCAGTATAATGAATAACAACTTTGCAATATGATGATCAAAGTCCTTGAGTCCTACAAAAAAAAAAACAAACAAGAACTACAGTTTCTTTTTACAATGAGGAACCCAGCTGGAGATTTGGTATTTATTGTATACAAGGAAAGGAGTATATTGTGTACATTCTAGATTATGCTTCTGTAACCACTAACTCAGGAGCACCCTAAATGTTTAGGGCTTATGTTTTTATTTATTTATTTATCCATTTATTACACTGGAGGAATTTTTATTGGTGGTTTTTGTTTTTTAATGTGTATGTGTGTGTGCTTACATGTACATCACATGCTAATTCCCAAGGAGACTGAAAGGTATCAGATCACTTGGATGGAAGTTGTAGGCAATTGTGCAGTGCCTTACATGAGGACAGGGAACCGAACCCGGTCTCCTGGAAGAGCAGTAAGCTCTCTTGACTGCTGAGGTCTCTCTTTAGCCCCCTGGGTTTATATTTTTGAGTTACAGATCTCCATCTCAGTTGTGGCTTCTGGGTTCTTCTTAATTGCTGTTAATGTACTCTCTGTCTACTTGGTTTTTGAGATAGGGTTTCTCTGTGTGGTCCTGGCTGTCCTGGAACTCTTAGACCAGGCTGGCCTTGTTTGCCTCCTGAGTACTGGGATTAAAGGCGTACGCCACACTGCCAAGCTCTCTCTGCCTGCTTTTAGTAGTACCTCAGTTTCTTCACAGTTGTTCCATTTTGTTACACACTCAGAAAGCTTGAAAGTAAAGTAGATGCAAAAAAACCATAAGGTTTAAATTTGGCAAGTTGATTCTGAAATAAAGATTTTTGGTTTAAGAGATGTAGCAAGTAGATTTTTCGATAGAATTTTAGATACTTTCTGGTGGGTCTTGTGTTTTGTTTTGTTTTGTTTTGTTTTTTGGTGGGGGGGTGTTTTGTTTAAAGAAAGTGGGGGAAAACGGAAGTTTCAAGCCTGAGAGCTTGGTGGGTAAGGGCACTTGCTGCCAAGCCTGACTACCTGAGTTTGATTCTTGGAACCCACAATGGTAGAAGGAGAGAACAGACACCTATGAGCTGTCCTTTTACCATGGCACACAACCCCCCCCACACACACACATTCTTAATGGAGGATGATAGAGGACCTATATACAGATGAGGTACTAACTAATGAATCCTAGTATTTATTTTCTGAAAGTACATTATAGTCTGATATATTTGAGGAGACGTTTTGTAGAACTGAAAATGGTTTTCCTTTTGTGGAGGAGTTGTTTGAAGCAGGGTCTCACTTTGTAACTTTGGCTGGCCTCAAACTTACAGAGATCCATTTGGCTCTGCCTCCATAGTACTGGGATTAAAAGCGTGCACCATCACATTGGCTTGAAAATATTTTTTCTTATATTAATTAGAGGTAGTTTCTTACTTTTTATTATATTTTACTTCTTTAAAAGACATTGGCAGTTTTTTTTAAACAGGTATAATTTATATACAGTAGAATAAATTGTGTCTATATGGTGGGTTTTCTGTTGTTCTGTTCCTTTTTTCTCTTCTTAAGGATCTCATAACCTAGGTTGTTCTCTATAGAACTGAGGATGACCTTCAGTTCTGGATCCTCTTCTTGCCTTATCCATGTACTGGATTGTAGGTGTGTGTCACCATGCCTAGCTGAATTACAGCATCATACATACGTACATATATACATACATATCCCAGTGTTTTACACTGGCTCCCGCAATTCTAGTCTAGCCTAGTCTTAAGCCTTTGGAAAATATAAATTTTGTATATGTAGATATAGCTGTCGGGTATGGTACATATAAAGGCTGATTAGATTTTGTTTCCTGGGTTTATATTTAAATATTCATATACTTGAGGTTTTTTCAATGTACATGAAGCAAATTTTGAGAGTTTAATTTGGGGGAATGAGGTTTTAGCTTAGTGGCAGAGTGCTTGCTTGGAATACACAAGGTCCTGGGTTTATATGGTGAAGTGCTTCTACTAATTTTTGTAAATGGAAATGTGTGTGTTACTTACTTGTTATTTTGGTCATTTTTACAGGATCGCATGGTCCATTGTTGCCTTTACCAAGTCGTTACAGAATGGGCTCTAGAGATACACCTGAACTTGTTGCTTATCCATTACCTCAAGCTTCTTCCTCTTACATGCACGGAGGAAGTCCCTCTGGCTCCGTTGTAATGGTTAGTGGATTACACCAGCTCAAAATGAATTGTTCAAGAGTCTTCAACCTGTTCTGCTTGTATGGAAATATCGAAAAGGTGAATTTCTTTTTGCTAGTTTATTGGGTGGAGAATCTAGTAGTAATTCAGAAAGTGCTACCCACTTCTGTCAGGACATCTAAGTTCTTTCAGTCATGAACTCACATAATCTTAAAACCCACTGTATATGAACTTACAGAAATGATTTTTTTTCTGACAAGTGATCAATATAGATTGATAGTAATAAAAATATGTCTTAAGCCGGTTAGTGGTGGCGCACGCCTTTAATCCTAGCACTCGGGAGGCAGAGGCAGGCGGATCTCTATGAGTTCAAGACCAGCCACAGCTACAGAGTGAGTTCAGGAAAGGCGCCAGGAGTACAAAGAGAAACCTTGTCTCGAAAGAAAAAAAAAAAAAATTTTTTTTTAAATGACCAGTAATGAGCAGGGTCCAAAGCACCAGAAGTTCAGTCACTTCCTAGTGTACCTAAGGCACGAAGCCTGTGTAGATAAATGCTATGTTAGCGGTTGTTTGACTCCTGGGTTTTCTACTTTATGATGTTGTAAACATGATACATTTCATAAAAATCATACTCGGAGTTTAAAATTTGCCATACTAGCAATATGTGTGACATCTGTTCTGTAATCCTGAGAAGCAGCAACAGGTCAGACTTTTTTTCTAGTTATCATCACAGGAGTAAGAAACTGATACAGATATTCTACAGTATACTGTCAGCCAAGTTATGATGTTGGATAGACCAGATACATTTAAGTGCATTTTCAATTTATAATGTTTTTACTTTAATGGTGGAAGAAAACCTATATTTGGTTTTAGCATTTAACATGTTAAACTGTTGAATTTCCAAGAGCATTTATACTCATGGAGCTAGATATTTATAAATGAGTCTCAGAGCTTTACTTGCGTTGTGGGTATGGGTTGGGGGGGGGCTTGTTATGTACTTGTTTTTTTATTCTTTATTTTATGTGTATGACTGTTTTATCTGCATGTATGTCTGCACCACATGTTTACCTGGGCCCATGAAAGTCAGAAGAGGTTTTGGATCCCTGAAAGTAGACTTAGGAGTGGTGTTGGCCACCGCGTGGGTTCTAGAACTGAATTCAGGTCTTTTGCAAGAGTACAAGTGCTTTTCATGGCTGAGCCAGCCTCAGTCATCCTAGGAGGAACAATGTGTTTTTATGTGAGCTCAGTTACTACTTGGAACTGACCCACTTTGACAGAATGTTCCAATAGTATAATAATGTTATTTTCTTGTGATTTTAATACTCTTTCCATAGTGATAAGAAAGTATAAACATGTGAGTCCATGGTCTGGGAGTGGGAGAATGGCCTAAAAACTTGATACTCCTAGTTCTTAGTTCATTAGTTCTAAAACCCTGATAAGCAGCTCTTGAGAGTTCTGAGTTATCTCCATTATTTCATTATATTAAGAAGAGGGGGAAAAAGAAAATGTTTTGTATCTTGTCTGAGGGTAGGTGGACAACTAAATTCAAGAAGTTTAATCCATATCCTTTGTGTTAAGAATTGTCTCATGACTTAGTTTTTGGTATGTTTGACTAATTCTTCTCTTTCATTTCATGTTACCTCAAACTTTTAATACTTTTTAAACTTTTGTTTGTTGTATTTTATGTGTGTGGGTGTTTCGCCTCTATATTTATGCACCACTTGCATGTCTGGTCCTGAAGGGCCAGAAGAGGGCTTTAGATCTGCTGGAGCTGGAGTTACAGAAAGTTGTGTGCCACCGTGTGGGTGCTGGGAATTAAACCTGGATCCTCTGGAAGAGCAGTGAGTGCTCTTAACTGCTGAGCCATGTCTTCAGCACTAAGTTTTTAGTAATGTTAAATGATGGATTGCGGTACAAAAAACTTAAACCACTCTAATCCTGTAAGTTTAAAGATACTCTTTTAAACTTTTCCAGTGGTTTAATTTTTCAAGGATTCATAAATGTGTATGAATGTTTTGTCTGCATGCATGTATGTATGACATGTGTGTGCCTGGTGCCTGTGGCGGTCACAAGAGGGCACTGGATCCTCAGAATTGTAGTTATGGAGGTTGTGAGCCACTGCAGAGGTGCGAGGAATCAAATCCGGGTCTTTTTCCAGAGCGACAAATGCTCTTAACCACTGAGCTTTCTCTGGTGCTTTTCTAATGGATTTAATTATTTGGGGGGAGGAGGCCTAGAACCACATTTATACTTATATACATATGCATACTATATAATTATAATAATTACTAGATAATTTTTGGGATATTACTGAATTAAATGAAAGGATAAAGTATTGCCTATAGCAAAACAACTGATTTCAAGTAAAGCTGAAAATTTCTGGTATTACCAGTTTGTACAGGTATGGTATATAGTGCTAGCATATCCTTTTAAAACTGAAAGTGCTAGAGGTAATAAATGGTGAACATGTGATTTACACATATTCTCTCTGTTCCTTTGAGGTTAACAGGTAAGAAGGGAAGTGTATTCAAGCTGTCGTGCATACTGTGTGGTTTCGTAGTTCTAAGTGACCAGCACTGCACTTCTGCTGTCATGCTGTCTCTAGGCTGTTTTTTTTCTTTTTTGTTTTTTTGTTTTTCAAGACAGGGTTTCTCTGTATAACTTTGGAGCCTGTTTTGGATCTCACTCTGTAGACCAGGCTGGCCTCGAACTCACAGATCCTCCTGCCTCTGCCTCCCGAGTGCTGGGATTAAAGGCAAGTGCCACCACTGCCTGGCATGTCTTATATTATTTATTGCCTTAACATTTCTGAATTGTTTATGGCCATATAAAGATGAAGACGGTTATGTTTACCATTCAATGTGTAGTACCTTGCACAATGCTTATCAAAACCTACTAGATACTCAGATATTTGTTTAAATATTGATTAGGCTGAGTACCTAGGGATGTAATTATTATCTTCACTTTATAGGGACAGTCTGGTGTAGAGGAATTAAGTAGCTTACCTGTAGATCTCAGCCTTGGGACAAACCTGTGCTCCATGGGCTGTAGAGTACAATTACAGTCTTCCCCTTTAACTTCACTCAATTTTGGTAAGAGTTAAGGCTATCCTGTAAAAATGACAGAATAAGGTTAAGATTCTAAGAAATGAGCCGGGTGGTGGTGGCGGCGGCGGCGGCGGCGGCGGCGGCGGCGGCGGCGGCGGCG